AAACTTCAAATTAAGGAGTCATTCATCCACTCCCCCAAAGTGTCAATTCCAAGTTTGAAAGTGTTATAAATTTGCAAAGCATACTTTCCAGGAGCTAGTAAAAGAGGTGGGTGGGGGGGAACTATCCTTTGCAGGTTAATCTTCAAGGTTTTTTGAGAGGTCAGGATCAGGTGCCCATGGGATACTCTTAGATTGGCACATAAGGACAAGCAATGGCACCCACCTTCCACACGAGTTATATGGGCCCATGAGCTAACACCAAATACTAATCATGTGGCCCTATTCTGAACCAGCTGAAGTCTCCAGACAGGTTTCAAAGACGGGCCACAAAGAGTGCATTTCAGTAATCTAAATTGGATGTTACCAGTGCATGAGTTGGTGCCTGTCTGTCTAGGTAGGGGCATAGCTTGGTGTATTTGCTGCAGCTGGAAGAAGACCATGGAGTCCACTTGGGCCTCTAATGACAGTACTGGGTTCAGGAGCACCCCCAAGATGCAGACCCTGTCGTTTAGGGAGAGTGCAACCCCAACCAGGATAGAGAAATGGCCAGCCAACCCAGCAGGTGAGCTACCTACCAACAGCACTTCCATCTTGGAGGAAACACCAAGAGATCTTTTAGCAACTTATAGGTATGTGAGAGGGTGTCCACAGAGGTGGGTAGAGACCTATATTTCCCTGCAGAGGAGGCAGGATGTGTTCCAATGGAGCAAAGTTCAGGGAACCAAGGTTCAATTTGGATGCCAGGAAGTACTTTCTGACAGTTAGGACTCCGAGGGTATGGAATGGGCTTGCATGGGAAGTAGTTGAGGCCTCATAGGTGAGGGTGTTCAAAGATAGGCTGGACATGCACATGGTGGGCATGTCATGAGTTTAGCCAGCTGGAGCCAGCTGGACTAGATGACCTGGGAGACCCCTTCTGACTTGCTCTGTTTCTATGTTTCTACCCTGCAAATTGTCTTCTATAAGACCATGCCTGTAACATAATCTTTCTCATCTTCTGATTTAGAAACACAGAAAACAGAGCGAGTCAGAAGGGGCCTCCTGGGCCATCTAGTCTGACCTCCGGCACCAGCTGGCTCCGCTCACGACATGTCCTCCATGTGGATGTCCAGCCTATCTTTGAACACCTGCACCGATGGGGCCTCAACGATCTCTCGTGGAAGCCCATTCCACACCCTCGGGGTCCTGACTGGCAGGAAGTGCTTCCTGGCCTCCAAACGAAACCTTGGCTCCCTGAGTTTTGCTCCGTTGGAGCGCGTCCTACCTTCCTCTGCAAGGGAGAACAGGTCTCTACCCATCTCCGTGTGACATCCCCTCACATACCTGTATGTTGCCAACATATCCCGTCTGAGTCTCCTCTTCTCCAGGCTGAAGAGACCCAGTTCCCTCAGTCTCACCTCATACCCCATCCCCTGTAAACTGGCCACCAACCTTGTGGCCCTACGCTGCACTGACTCTAACCTGGCTATATCCCTTCGGTAATGAAGGGCCCAAAAATGAGCACAATACTACAGTTGTGGGCGCACCAGAGTCATATAGAGTGGTAGTAATACCTCCCTCGATCTAGAAGCCACATTTCTGGCTATGCAACCAAGGGTGGTGTTCGCCCTCTTAACCACCACATCACACTGCTGACTCACGTTTAGCCTGCAGTCAACCAGAACCCCGAGGTCCCTTTCACAAGTGCCGCTCTCCAGCCACTTGTCCCCTAACCTGTACTTATGACACCTATTCCTATGCCCCAAGTGCAAGACCTTGCACTTATCCACATTGAATGCCATCCTGTTGTCTCCTGCCCACTTCCATAGTCTGTTCAGTTCCTTTTGGATCTGGAGTACCTGCTCCTCAGTTGTGGCCACTGCTCCAGTTTTAGTATCGTCTGTGAATTTGATCAGCAGACTGTTCACCCTTTCTTCCATATCATTATGAAAAGATTAAACAGAATCAGCCCAAGGACAGATCCCCGGGGGACCCCGCTTGTCACTGGCCACCATCCCGATGATTCCCCACTAATGGTTACCCCCTGCTTTTGGTCAGTCAACTAATCCACCAGACAGTGCTTTGGTGTATCCCAAAACTCCTCAGTTTCTCCACCAGGATATCATGGGGCACTTTGTCAAAGGCCTTGCTGAAATCCAGGTAAACCACATCCACTGCATCCCCTCCATCTAGCTATCTCAAAACCTTGTCATAGAATTCCACAAGGTTTGTCTGGCAGGACCTGTTTTTGCGG